TAGATGACCAAAAAATATAATATTTAATATCTCGGAAACCAAAACTGCACAAACGACACTTTTAACGGCACAAACCTGCACAAACGGAGCACTAACGACTCAGACTATTGGATGGATTTTTTGACGTGGGTGGGGTGTCAGCTTCACACAGCTTTTGTAGGAGCTCCCTTTCTGTTTCCTTTAACCTGCGAGAGACAGGTCAGGAGAGCTGCTGCACGTTTTAGGACTGAAAGTTTCCCGGACTGTGGCTGTTTATAAAGACGAGGTCTGGACCCCAGAGGAAGACTACAGAGACCGGATTACAGAGAACTCTTCAAGGATTGGTTTTAACCGGATTCTTCACTCCGACAGAGGAGTCTATGAGCTGAGCTGCAGGAAGTCTGACATCTTAAGAGAAAAACCCTTTCAGCTGCATAGTTCCACTTTATGAAGTGACAGGTTCTGAGGGTCAAACTGTGGTCCTCCTGTGTTTCTGTAACACAGAGAAACCAGCKTCTTCTGTTCTCTGGCAAAAAAAAACAGAACAGATSTGTGTGTGCAGAACTSTGGTTCTGATGGCTGCAGGGGGACAGATGACAGACTGTCTGTGTCCTCCAGCTGGTCCTCACATGGAGACCTGTCTTTGRCTATAAGCRGAGTCAGACCTGAAGATCAGGGGGATTATTTCTGTGAATCAGGAAGTCCTGCTGGAGTCAGACTGAAGGTCACAGAGGATCATCAGGTGACTGCTGATGTGAGTACACACCTCAGAGATMTGAGCAAATGATCTGAATCCAATTCTTTATATTTTTAATGCAGCAAATCCAGAAGAGCGGCAGAGACCAGACTGTCCTCACTGTCATCATAACAGCTGCTGTGATGYTGGTGGTTTTCTGCTTCCATCCTTGTTTGGCGTCACTTTCACAGATCAGCTGCTTCATCCAGAAATGTTGCTGCAGAGATGATGACTSCTTAACAGCAGTGTTTCCCAAAGTTGGGGTCGGGACCCAAAGTGGGGTCCTGAAACATCAAAATGGGGTCCTGAAAAGATTTTCTGAATTAATTACATTTTTGCCTTAGTTGTTACAAAGG